CCTTCGCCGCACCCGTCACCTCACCTCCTCACCGCCCGTCACCTTTGCTTCCTCCGCCCGCCGCTTCTCCCCTCCCGTCGCCAAAAGTTGCATCGTCCCCCATCAGATGATGAGAGCAGCCGCTGTCGAGAGAACAACTGCTGGATCGGCTTCAACGGCTGCAGGAATCGCCTGAAAATCCCCACCATGTTCCGCGTTCAGCGAAATGACCCACCATTGACCCAGAAGGTCCTATTTTGTTGGTTGAGTTGGAGTTGTCGCTCTGCATTCCCGTCTTCGAAGAACTCTCCTTCTACTTAGAAGCATTGTTCTTCTTGTCAGCGCATTGTTCGCACTGAAACGCAAAATGTCCGATTTCTCCGCAGACCCAGTAAGGTTTCTTCGAGCTCCGCATGTTGTTTGGCTGTCGATCATCTTTCTTTTGCTGCTCTTTGTTCGACGACTTCTGCTCCGTAGAACCGCCAGATGTCGAAAAAGACCAACGCGTCTGCTGCTGCTTCTGCTGTCCCGTCGACGTCCAGTTGACTTGTGGCATATGTGATTATTTCTGCTTTTCAATCTCGAGTGTGCACTCCTCCGCGATTATTTTGCTCGTCAGAGTGTTTTCGTCGAGGGTCTTGCAATCCTTCGGAGATTGGAGCATTCGTCGAAGGTACTCGTACTCCGCGGGAAGGCCTATTAGAACATGAGTCACATACGAGGCCATTGAATAGTTCACGCCGGCCATTCAGCAACTGCGTCGAGCGAAATTGTGTACATTGTGAGGTGTCACTCAGTCGTGGAATCTTGATCAAGCCATCGATGAATGGCTTCAGCTGCGCAATTTCAAGTTGAGGCTCGATGGACTCCCTCCACACGGGTAAATCATGACGTCCTTCGAGAAGATTTGGGACCATGAACTTGTCGGGAGAGAAGTTGGAATAACCATAGTCAGGAGCAATTCCGCTGTCTTTCGATGCCGTCGGATGAGAGATTGCCGAGCTCCCTCCAGTCTTGACTGCAGATTCTCAACCGCTCAAGCGTCCTCCTCTGCTAGTTGCCTTCTTCGGACTTGCATCCTTCTTCTGCTGCGAGCCTTCACCAGGGCTCGTCGATTCTCCTTGTCGTAAAACATCTCGTGGCTCTTGCATTCCGCCTTCTGCCCGTGCATCCACGCTGTCGTCGTCTCCAGAAGTCTGCGATTCCTCGTTTTCCTCTGCACGAGTCGATGGATGTTCCATCTCCCATTGAGCTCGCACCCCCAACAGCATGAAGTTGAGCTCCTGCTCGGTGAGATTTCCATCTTCGTGACGAGCAAGCACCGCAGCATCCCGCTCACTTTGACTGTCGATTCCCTCAAGGATATCCTCGGAATCCTCCATGTCGACTAGCTAAGTTTAACGAGACCTAACGTAGAAGAACAGGCTCTTTGCGTGTTCGGTCCATGCTCATCGCACCATGCAGAGATTCATGCTCCAACGGGGCTTCTACAGAATGTCTTCTCCAGTCACGCAAACTTGCAGTTCACTAAGGAGAAAATCCGGTTAAGTCTTGAAAAGGCACAGAGTTGGCACACAAAGAAATTCACTAGAGTAGTATGAAAGATATAATACAAGGGGTAAAGAACTACCCAACCACTGAGCCTAACAAGAGAACGTTCACAAAATAACGTTTAGATAACTACCAGTTAGTTATGCTTTGCCAAGTCAGCATTGGCAGGTGAAAATTACAACACATGCTTAATTGTTTATTTTTACCTACCTAGAAGTAGTTATTTTAACTATTTAGGTTGTTTAACCGGTTTCAGTAACGCACGTTTTCGTAGTTACGAAAACGTGCACCATGTTCAGTTTGTGCAGGTGGTTCAGTTTTGCCCCAGATTGAACACCCCAGTTGCGCGCACTGTTCCGCGGGGTCAATTTCTCAATGTCCCGCAATGTTCCGAAATCCGTCCGCAAAAGTTAAAAAACGATCGCACTTTCGCGTCGGAAGGGTTCACCGGTCGAGACTATGCTCTTCTGCAGAAATTCGCTTCTGCAGATGCGCCTTCCTCTGCAGACCCAATTTCTGCAGATGCGCGACCCTCTGCCAGCGGAAAATGTTTCTGCGAACTTCCCTGCAGAACTCCGCGTCGACCTCTGCAGAAATTGCTTCGGCAAATTTTCCCTCCCCTGCAGAAAGCGACGACCACCTTCTGCAGGGTCAGTGCAATGTCAACAGCTTTCCCCCTCCCGTCGACCTCGCTTTCCCCCTCCCGTCGACCTCGCTTTCCCCCTCCCGTCGACCTCGCTTTCCCCCTCCCGTCGACCTCACTTTCCCCCTCCCGTCGACCTCGCTTTCCCCCTCCTGTCGACCTCACCGTCCCCCGCCCGTTGCCCTCGTTTCTCCTCCCCCTCGCTTCCTTCCCCCGTCGCCCATGCCCATTTCCCTCCCTCGCACCGTCGCCCTCGTTCCCCCCCCCCCTCCCGCCGCCTTCTCTACCCTTCCTAGTGCCCGTGTTTACCACCTCCTCCATCCCCACCCTCACTCTCACCCTCGCCCTCTCATGCGAAGAAACTTCTCCGCTTTCCTCTCTTCCTTCCTTCTTCCCATCCTACCAGCCTCCGAGCCTAATCAACTCCCTTTTTACCCTCCCATTCCACCCTTTCACCTTCAAGGTGGAAAGTTGAGATCCCAAAACGACCCCCCCAAAAGGGCCTTCCCGAAAGACTCTTCGGGGTCTCCCAAAAACGTCCCAAATATGTCTACACTCCCGAAAGGGAAATTCAAGACAGTGTACAGTGGTTTCCGAAACTGTTCGATCCTAAACTTGACCCTGCAGGTTTCGCAAGATTCACTGAACGGTTCCGAAACTGTCCAAAACGCGTGTAATAGCCTAGTCGTTGCGAAAGTGTGTAGAACGAAAGCTCATGGGTTCGAATCGTTGCATCGTCGCAAAGGACTTGACGTTATTTTTTTCCTTGCAAATGTGTCGAGTCCAGTCGACCCACTACTACATATAGTGCTAGTTGACTACAAAAATATGTAGTTAGTTCACGTAAGAACAATGCGTAATGCGTAATGATGATTTTAATAATATTAGACATATATGATTTCGTTAGCATTTACCGTCATGCATTTAATATGAAAATAAATTTGAGAATTATGACGGAAACAGTAGCATTATCGTAACATTATCGTAAATGTCCTCAAAAATGACTTCTCATATCATTATATATGCAATTCCGCTTGGTCTCTTTGTTGAATCTGTTTATATCAAGTACAGATTGAATTGCAGAAATCAATTCCTATCGCCAATTTCGTAAGTCTCGTTAGTCCACCTTTCCCCTTCCCCCCCACTCCCCCCTCACATACCTTCGATCGAAGGGGGGGAAGGGCGAAATTTTTGCCAATTTCGCTAGTCCCCCTATTCACAAACAATCGATCGAGGGGGGAGGGGAGGCGAAATTCTCGCCAATTTCACTGGTCCCCCCCCTTCCCCCACCCCCAAGCCCCTTACAAACAATCGAACCTGGGGGAAGGGAGGCGAAATTGTGAGCCTCACAGATGACGCCAACTCAGCGTCACCTGGGAGGCAGATAACATTCGCGCCACCTGTCATGCACACATCATTTTTCACCTGCCACCTGCGCTGAAATAACACACGTGCACACCACACAATCAACACTTGTCAACCACCTGTCATGTCGACTTCCTGTATTCTGACCCAACCAGTTTACCTATGCAAAAACTACCTAAACCCAACTGAAACACATCATTACCCATTTTGGTTCAAAACTGACTGCATTTAACTTGAGTCGACTCTAGTTGCCCACACTCATTACACGTGTTCTATTTTTGTGTCTGTCAAGTTTGTTCCTTAGGTTCCTGGTAACTCGTATTCCACTTGTAGTTGTGTTCGCACTCGTTTTCCACTGTCCGTATATGTTAAGCGTCTGACGAGCCTAAGTTTCAAAATGATTCTCAGTTCTTTCGCTAGTTGTTTTGTCCCCAAAACAGAAACACGTATTTACTTCTTAGTTACCACCGTTGAAACACTGCTATGTTCAAGTAATAGCTTTGCTTGTACGATTCCTGGTATATCTCTCTGTATGTGTTGCTCCTATTAATGACTACCTGGTTTATGTGTGTCGCCTTCCATCGATCGCTTTATGATGGTCTAATTATGCACGGTTATACCCTTCTTTCTTATTTTACATCTTTGTTGCAGTCGATGATGATTCTCACGAAGGACCAAGTGTTCCTCTTCAGTCTGGCATCGATGAAGGTACGTCAAGCAAATGTTCAGTATAATTTTTTCGAAGTGTCGTTGCAGTGCTTTTTATGTCGTCTAGGTTTCGTTACCCGCTTGATGATATCCCTAACCGTCATTGGATGTTGATATATTATTGACATGGTTAATTTCTATGTTCTTTTTTAACCAATTCAAAATCCACTGCAGCTTTCGTTTTAGTGTGTGGGCAGTTGAATGTTAGCCTTCAAAACTGTCATTTTGTTATTTCTTGTTGCAGGGGTATAATGTCGTAACCAGCTTCCTGGTTTGTACATGCTTTCCCGTTTTCTCCAGCAGTAGTCATTTTCCAAGTGAACTTCCTCTTTACTATGGCTACTTGTTGATTGTCAAAGGCAGATGCGCTGGTTTTATTACATTTGTGGATTATACTATTGGGGAAATTTGTACTGCTGACTGTTTTAACTTAACATTGTGATTTAAAAATAGTTGTTGAACATGTTTGGCAATAAACACTTTTACGTATCGTAGAGAGGGACTTAAAGCCGAACTGCATGTGCTCCAATTACAGCATGAAGCAACCCAAAAGTATAATCAGCCCCCACGAAGCGCTAGGCGGAACAGTGAATGTCCCCAAACTGTCTTTTTGTCTTATCCGGAACAGTAAATGTTTCCAAAATGTTCACATGCGTCTCTCAAGGGTCTTCGGGGATGGTTCAAAAGAGTCTTGCCGGACAGTTTTGGGACTCCCAAATCTGTCAGGTAGTTGTTCCTGAAAGACACTTCTGGAATGGTGGTGAAAAGTGACTCGAAAGCCTCTCGGGGGATTGTTTCAGGATGCTTTTGGGAGCTGGGATTTTTGAGAAGTTCCCATTCGTTCATTTCACCTTCTCACCCCTATTGTCCCTTCAATCGCTGTTGCTTCCTTTTTGCGGATGCCTCTTTCCCCTTTCTCACTCTCTCCCCCCCTCCTCATTCTGTTCCTCCCTCCTCAATCTGTTTCCCCCTCCTCAATCTGTTTCCCCCTCTTCAATCTGTTCCCCCCTTGCTCACTATCTCCCCCCTTGCTCACTATGTTTCCCCTGCTCACTCCCTTAACCCCCCTCACTCTGTTTCTTCCTTGCTCTTTCTCTCCCCTCCTCCTCACTCTATTTCCCCTTCCTCACTCTTAATCCTCCCTGCTCACTCTCTTGCGCCTTGCTCTCTCTCTTCCCCCCTCCTCATTCTGTTTCCCCATTGCTCATTCTCTTCCCCGCTGCTCATTCTCTTCCCCCCTTCTCACTCCCCGCTGCCCTCGTCGCCTCTCGCCCGTCGCCCTCGCTTCCTCCGCCCGCCCTCGCTTCTCTCATCCCGTCACCCTTGCTTCTCCCATCCCGTTGCCCTCGCTTCTCCCATCCCGTCGCCCTTGCTTCTCCCATCCCGTCGCCCTCGCTTCTCCCATCCCGTCGCTTTCGCTTCTTCCATCCCGTCGCCCTCACTTCTCCCATACCGTCGCCCTCGCTTCTCCCATCCCGTCGCCCTCGCTTCTCCCATCCCGTCGCCCTTGCTTTCCCCCGCCCGTCGCCTTCGCTTCCCCTGCCTGTCGCCCTTGCTTCCTCTCTCCATCGCTCGCCCCGTCAACCTCTCCTCTCCCACCTGCCGCTGCGTTGACGTCGCTCTCATTCCCACTGCTGACTCTTCTTCGATCTTCCCCTCTTCTTTGCCCTTGCTTCCTTCCCCCGTCGCCCATGCCCATTCCCCTCCCTCACGCCGACGCCCTGGTTTCCCACCCCGCCGCCTTCTCTACCCTTTCTTGTGCCCGTGTTTACCACCTCCTTCATTTCCCCACCCTAAGCTTCACTCTCACCCACGTCACTCATGCGGAAAAACTATTCCCTCTTCCTCCCTCCTCTCTCTTCCCCCCTGTCCACTCCCTTCCCCCCATCTCAATCTCTTCCCCCTTGCTCATTCTGTTTCCCCCGCTCATCCTCTTTCCCCGTGTTCATTGTGTTCTCCCCTGGTCACTCCCTTTCCCCATGCCCTCTCTCGTCCCCCTGCTCACTCCCTCTCAACATGCTCACTCTCTTTCCCCTTGCTCACTCTCTTTCCCCCTTGCTCACTCTCTTTCCCCCTTGCTCACTCTCTTTCCCCCTTGCTCACTCTCTTTCCCCCTTGCTCACTCCCTTTCCCCCTTGCTCACTCTCTTTCCCCCTTGCTCACTCTCTTTCCCCCTTGCTCACCCTCTTTCCCCTTTGCTCACTCTCTTTCCCCATCGCTCATTCTCTTTCGCCCGTGCTCATTCTCTTCCCCCCTGCTCACTCTTTTTCCCCCTTGCTCACTCTCTTTCCCCCTTGCTCACTCTCTTTCCCCCTTGCTCACTCTCTTTCCCCATGCTCATTCTCTTTCCCCATGCTCATTCTCTTTCCCCCTTGCTCACTCTCTTTCCCCATGCTCATTCTCTTTCGCCCGTGCTCATTCTCTTTCCCCCTTGCTCATTCTCTTCCCCCCTGCTCATTCTCTTTCCCCCTTGCTCATTCACTTTCTCTCTGCTCATGTTCTTTCCCCTTTGCTCATTCACGTCCCCCTTGCTCATTATCTTCCCCCCTGCTCACTATCTTCCCCCCTGCTCGCTATCTTCCCCTCTGCTCACTCTCTTCCCCATTCGTCATTCTGTTTCCCCCGGCTCAATCTCTTCCCCCCTCCTCACTTTGTTTAGCGTTGCTCCCTCTGTTTCACTCTTGCTCACTCTGTTTCGCCCTTCTCACTCCCTTTTTCCCTGCAAGCTCTGTTTTCCCCTGCTTTCACTCTCTTCTCACTCTCTTCCCCCTTGCACACTCTCTTCACTTCTGCTCACTCTATTTCCCACTGCTCCCTCTCTTCACCCCTTCTCACTCTGTTCCCCGCTGCTTCTTCTCTTCCCTTCTGCTCACTCCTTTTTCTGTCTTTCCCCTTTCACTCACCCCCAGGCCCCCAGATTGCAGGAATTTTACCCTGATTTGGGCTTTGAACACTGATTTTCAGGGTGTTTTTTGGACCCAGCGCTAATGAGAAAGTTTTTTTTTTAAGCCTATCCTGATTTTGCAGCATGTTTTTTCGTACTAGGCCTGATTTTCTAGCGTGTTTTTTCTTGGGGACCCTGAATTGAATCATACAGTAGATGGTACAGGTGTAGTTGCGAAGATGCCTAGATTCAGTTTATCCGGAAAAAAGTTTTCCCGCCAATCCGCCGTCACCATCAACCACGGGAAATGGCATCTTTGCTGTATCCACACACATACCTGACTTGATGTGTTGTCGCCATCATCTGTCAAGCTGGCAAGTGATTGGGCAGTTTCAGGTAATCACACACCGTGCCCACTCACATGGCCCTTGCTGGCAACAACTAACCGCGTCACGGTTGTAACCCGTGACGCTGTGGAATCGTGCAGGAAACATGGGCACATACATCCCATTTCGTGGATGGCCCATAGGGGACCATCCACGCCTGCATGGTGGCTTTTGTTTGAGCTTGTCAACCAATCACCAACGAGGTGTGGTGACCCTCCCTTCCCCATCCCTTTCACCCCATTCTTGAGCGTCGTGTTAGATTAGGTGAGCTTCGTTCTCGCTGTTTCTCGGCTGAATCTCCACTCCACCCTCCTTCTCTCGTCCATACTCCCGCCATGGCTGGACCCGTTGATGGTGAATCTGCCGACGACGAGGCTGACGACATAGAGATCGAGATAGCACACACGGGTCTAGACCTGTTGCTGTGTTCGCTATCGAAAGCAACCATTCCATCGTTACTTTAGTTACGGCTATTCCCACCGTAACTTCCGCCCCACCAGACTCAATTGTCGCCCCAGTTATTAAGACCTCAACGCCGCCCAATGTCACCGAAACTATACCCACGACGGTACATGTTTCGCCGTCAAAACTAGCAGCACCGTCCCCAGCTTCTCCTATGGATACATCTCCGGCTCTTCCAGACGGTTTTGAGATGGTGTCCCCGTCATCTCGGCCCGTTCCACCTGCATCGCAACCAGCTGCTCCCGAAGTGGCGTCCCCTGCAGGTCGGCCCGTTCCACCTGCATCTCACCCTCACGCAGCTGCATCGGCGTCCCCGGCTGCTCGGCTTGTCTAGTCGAAGTTGAACTTCCTTCGACCTTCATCAGCGCCACCGACAGCACCCACCAACGTTCCCACTCCGCCCGTACTCGAAGCTGCAGCCTCAAACCAGCCATCAGCTATTGCCGAGGAGCTGTATGCCATTGCTCTTGATAGGTTCAAAACACGCTGGCAAGGTCAATTTGCCTGGTCGCAGCTTATCAAAACTTCAAGTGGTCACCCTGCCTTCAAGTGTTCTCTGTGTACAGAACATTCAGGATTGTCTGGCAAGACCGACAAGTGCACCGAAGGGGCGTTGGACGTTCAAAAGCAGGCATTCACGCAACACGCTGCCACCAACAAGCACAAGATCGGAAAAGAATGGCAGGATCAGCTCGTTGGCGCGACGAGGCAGCCGCGGATTGATGAGCATCCACTGACAGCGAGAAGGTCCGAGTGGTGTCTCTGATGGATGCCCTACTCTTTGTCACCAGGCAAGATGCACCCATGGAGCTGTGGGTCGGATTGGTCCGTTACCTTGCTGAGAAGGGAGTCCCGGGATTCCCAAAGAAGGGATACGGGGCGTACTACACCACGTGAGTCCTTATCCTAAAACTGATTGCACTGTATCATCATGTGATGGCACGGGCCAACCTACATGTTCTTGTTTGCCTGTCAGGTATGGATTCGGGGAGCTGACTCAATCTCTGGCAACGTGGCTGCAGACAACACAGCTCGAGGAGATCCTGGCAAGTCCCTACATCGGCATCTCGTGCGATGAGAGCACCGATCGCTGCAGTGGCAAACACCTCATCTTGTTCGTCACGTTCATTCGCAACTCACGCCTTGCCTGCGAGTTCATGGCGCTTCTGACAGTCGACAAGGCGGATGCGGCTTCGCTGTTGCAGTTGTTGCTGTCCCACCTGCAGGCGTGTGGTGTTGACCTGAGACGCATCGTGGGCATCAGCACGGACGGGGCGTCCGTGATGATGGGAGCACGGTCGGGCTTGGTTGCAAGGCTTCGGCTTCGCATACCTCACCTCGTCTCTTGTCATTGTATTGCACACTGGTAAGTCGAAATCGTACGTTTATGATTTGTCTGGTATATTCCTTGATATTGTTCTAATACACTGTTTCTGTGAGTGTGTACGCAGGGAGGCCCTTGTCACTAAGGATGCTGCTGAGAGCTTACCTTTCTTCAACATGATCGACAACACCATCCGTGCCATCGCCGAGCATTTGGGCCGTTCGGGTCCATGGCATCAGCGCTTCAAGGACCTCCAAGAAGTTTTTACCGAGACTTTTTTGGAGCTGCAAGTAATTCAGTGTACGGTGGCTATCACGTGGTGATGCCATGGCCAGGTTTGTGGCGGTCCTGCCGGCAGTCGTCACGATGCTGAAGGAATGGAATGAAAATTTGTACCCGGTGGTGACGTCGTACCGGTTCCACTTTCTCCTGCTCTTCCTTGCTGACATGCTTGACGAGATGAACGTTTGGAGTAGGATGTTCCAGCGACGAGAGGTGCGTCTATGTTGGCTAGACTTGCATGGCCATTGTCTATGTGTTCCGTCAGTTTTCTATCTGTTGTTTAGTATAAAGTCAGGCGCCCTAACTTCTTCTGCTTGCTTCCATCCCCCACAGCTCGATCTTTCATCTGTGCATACGCAGATTCACCGTACAACTGGACATCTGGAGGCCCGTTACGTCGACTGCGGGGATGACTTTGGCGGCGGGCTCAGTCCAAGGCTCTCACCATGGCTTGAGAAGCATGGTCCTGAAGACAAGCGGGAAGTCTACATCGAGGGCAGCGACTCGGACGGGCAGGCATGCACCTTCACGTTCATACTGCACAAAGAGAAACTTGAGGACCACCCTGGACCTGGGCACCACGACGCATGCATTGACATCTGCACCGAGTTCGCTTAGCTTATCATAGCCAACCTCCTGGATCGATTGGGCGACATCGACAAGCTCTCGGGCGTGAGCTTGTTCACTCCCGACAATTGGCCGCACGGCAGGCACGAGCGCCAAGCGAAGTGTCAGGAGCATCTTGAGGCGCTGATCACTCTCTTCCGGGCGAAAGAGTGCGAGGAGATCATACCTGGTGAGCCACGTGCCTTATGTGTGCATGCCGTGCCTCTCCATCCTTGTGTCATGTCGGATTTCTTGTATCAACAACTATGTTTTTTATACATGCTTGTTTTTCTGACTGCAGGTGTCGACAAGAAGAAAGCAGTCAAGGAAGTGCGACTGTTAATCCCCGTCCTTGCGCGTGCACCGAGGGGTGAGCGAGGATTTTATACTGGGCTTATCGCCATGCTCAAGACTGACGACTGGCAGCAGCACTACCCAAACCTGGTGCGGTTGTGGGTGGCGGTGGCGGTCCTGCCGTTGAGCACAGTCGAATGCAAGCGCAGCTTCTCGCGGCAGAACGTCATTAAGTCCTGGCAGCGAGGCAGCCTCAAAGATGCTCGGCTTAGTGACTTAATGTGCATGTCGCTGCTCCATTACAAGCCTAACTGGGACGAGATTGTGGAAATCTGGCGTAACTACAAGAAGCGGAGGCCGCTCAACACCTGCAACATCGCCAGACAGGAGGCAGATAGGAGGCGTCGGGGGAAGGAGGAGGCAGAGGCAGGAGGAGACCAGGCCATCCCAGTAGACCTAGATGAAGAGGATGTAGGTGCAGCAGATAGTAGTGATGAGGATGCGATGTGGTATTAGTGGTTGTATGCGATTTGATATTAGTGTTCTCATGCTGAACTATAATGAATCAATCAGCCTATTACTTGCTATCAATGCTGATTGGAAAGTTTTTTTTTATAGAGACAACACTGATTTTTCAGGGTGTTTTCACAAGACCCTGACAGAAAGTTTTTTTTTTGGACCAACACTGACCAGAAAGTGTTGACAAAAACCAATCTGAGGCTCTGCTCACCCCCATATCCCCCAATGCAGGGTACAGGTGCCCAGCACCAGATGTTGTGGCTTTACCACGGCCTGGTTTATTGCTTGCAGTGTAGCAGACAAAACCAGGAAGCAACATTACACCCCCCGTAGCTTCGTTTTTTTATAAAATTGAGTGATTCCCCTTACTTTTACTGTACAAGTAGTACTAGTATATTATTTCTTGGACTCCTTGGTAGTGGTCATGTGTATGACTGCTCTGAAGCTCATAATGCTGTATCATAAAAAACGACCCAACACATGGCATGTCTATACATCGTGTTACTATCAAACAGCCAACACATCACAACCAGATGCAGAGCAGACCTGAACAAACACAAACCAGGAATTTAGATGATGAAATGGCTGAAGTAGCAAGGAAACAAGCGAACGACAACTGACAAATGATGAAGGGAGGAACGGGAAAAGGGAGTAAGGGAGGAACGGAAGAAGGGAGGAAGCGAGGAATGCAGGAATGAAGGGAGGTAGTGATGATGGGGGGAAAGGAGGTAGGGAGGACGTGGAGGATAGAAGCAGAAGGGAGGGGAGGAAGAGAGGCTGGAGAGGAAAGTGGGGAGGAGAAATGGTGGCAGGGAGGAATGAGGAATGAGGAAGGAGGATGGGAGGAACAAAAAGAGACATGGAGGAAAGGGGCGAAGGGATGGGGGAAGGAAGGGATTAGA